ATACACACACACACACACACACACATACACATACACATTAGTCATTGTCCTCCTTTTTAACCAATGAAATAAACGTGGACTAAAAAAAAAATGAAACCGTACATTGTATTAACACTGTATATATCTATATTCAAAAATCAATTAATCACAAAATCTGAGAATATCTGAGCTAAACTTTGAATTTCTATCGGGCACTAATTGCGTTGAAGCATACATATTGCATTCAGCAGTTTTTACGATTATACATATTCTTCCGGCATATATCAAAAGCAAACAGCACTCATACTATTACTAATTATAGGTCATATGATAGTATTTGTAAAGTAAAGGAAGGCATGCATAGCAGTTCTAACATCCAGAATTAGCAGTAACGATTAGAGGACAACGATAAGCAGCCATATATATAACGATTAACAATTAGGATAAATGCTTGAAATTAATACGACAAAAAATAATTAGATGATATAGCTGATAAATCTTACATTAACTCTTTCGAAATACTCTTATCCAATTCGGCAAAACTTCCATAATAATAAAAAAAAATTGTAATGCAACAATCTGCTAACATATGATTGGTCAAACAAGGCTTAGCCCAAAACCTCATAAAATAAAACAAAAAAAAAATCCCTATCATTCGATTTAAAATTTAAAAAACCCAAGATTTAAAACAAAACATAATACGCAAAAGGAAAATCATGCTATCAACAAAATCACATACCCTGATGAACAGCAACTTCACAGTTGGGACCATCGCAATAAACAAGCGGATTCGATTCCCAACCATTCTCATCGGCACAAACGCAACAGCCGCCAAGCATTTCCTGAAAAAATGACAATGATCAGTATGATTCAGTATACTAATTAAAATCAAACGAAAAGTAAATTACAATAGCATGATTTTACGAGAACAGCGATGCGGTGAGTTTAGTATATTTTCTGTCAAAAGCATCTGCTTTATTTTCTTTGCATTTAAACAGCAAATTACGAAAAATCCATCTATAGTAATGCTTAAAAGTAAGCTCCCCATCACATTTCCTTCCTTTTACCGTTATCATGAAAATGATGCTTGATCGAGAAATCATACTTGGATAAAAAAGAAAATTGGCAATAAATGTTAATGTTCAAAGTTTAAAAGATGCTAAACGTGTTTAAAGTATTGTACACACACTTCACGCTTCAAATAAATAAATTTTTAAAATTACTTGCATTCGCACTTTTTCGTCCTAAGGCTAACAGCTGTTTTCATAACATCAATAAAACATAAAATAAATAAAAAAAAGAACCAGCCTTATTTACTACAACATTCTCAGCTCGAGAAGTACCTGCCTCATCTGGGGTATTTGCCACTGCCGTCCGTTTACCAATTGCTTCCTCTTGACGTAAATGCTAAATCTGTCAAAAAGCAATATTACT